TTTATTATTCATATGTGCATACAAGGCTTGGTTCATTTCTCCCCCCTGCCCCCACCCCCTCCCTTACCACCCACTCCGCCCCCTCCCTCTCCCCCGCCTCAATACCCAGCAGAAACTATTTTGCCCTTATTTCTAATTTTGTTGTAGAGAGAGTATAAGCAATAATAGGAAGGAACAAGGGTTTTTGCTGGTTGAGATAAGGATAGCTATACAGGGCATTGACTCACATTAATTTCCTGTGTGTGGGTGTTACCTTCTAGGTTAATTCTTTTTGATCTAACCTTTTCTCTAGTACTTGTTCCCCTTTTCCTATTGGCCTCAGTTGCTTTAATGTATCTGCTTTAGTTTCTCTGCATTAAGGGCAAAAAATGCTAGCTAGTTTTTTAGGTGTCTTACCTATCCTCACCTGATTAGGGTCTTTATAATGAATAACTTCTGATGACAGTTATAGGATTTTAGAAGAAAACACTAATTATATCAGACTAGGAAAATATGACATCCCAGACTAGATGCCCTGTGAAAAGGGGACTATTTTTTATGCCTAAAGATTCAACAAATAATTTTCCACCGAAGTAACAAAGCAGTTAAAAGACAAAAGCACCTAAATTTTCAGATTTCTAAAGAAAGAAATCTCATAAGACCCTGTGATAAGAGAAAGGATAGCAAAAAAACAGCCATTCTTAGCCATAAGTGCCACCAGCTTGGATCAGAGATTACAAACGGGAGAGTCCAGGAGCTCTTGGGTTTTGTTGTTTTGTTGTTATTTTGGTGTTACCTAGAACAGCATCCTTGTTTCAGAGGGGAACAACCTCATCACAGGGAAATGACAATAAGGAAAGAACCTATGAGCCCAGAAAAATGTTTCCTGGCAGGGAGATACATATTCACTGCTTTGAGGGCTAAGTCTTCCAGGATCTGTTTTCTAACCTTGCTTGTTCTAGGGTGCCTCAAAGATTCTAGATTTCTCTAGAAATCCAAATTATACTCAGTTCTTCTGTTTATTATAATTTCTAAGACAGTAGATGGGACCAACCACCCAGCAGTCCTTACTGATCCATTCAGGCAATTGTAGCATACTTTCTCCCCACCACCCCTCCCCCAAATACCTTGAATATAAATTTTAATTTTTACCTCTTTCTTATAGCACAGTTGATTATACATGGCTGGTTTGGGGATTGCTTCAATTTTCACTTCCTGAGTGGAAGTTCGGTAGGAAGGGTTACTGTAAGTCAGATTTCCCATTCCAGGGTCAGTAAACTTGGATTTTTTATGTCTTTAGGAGGAAAATGAGGAGAAATTAGTTCAGATCTTTATGTGCTTAATACCTGGGGAAGTTGTAACCTACATGTGGGACGCAGCCTCAGTGCAAGTCCCAGAGATACCTGACTCCTGTATTTAAGCCCTTCTGAATCCCTCCCCTTGAGTATGGGCTGGACCTGGTGACTCACTTCTAATGAAATGATTATGTAAAAGTGCTGGATGCAACATTAGGTTACAAAGAAATGAGCTTTCATCTTGGTGATGCTTCCTTCCTCCCTTCCTCTGTCTGATTTTGCTGTAAGGGAAGCAAGCTACCATGTTGTAAATTGTCTTATACAAAGGCCCATGAGGCAAGGAACTGATGAGGGAGGCCTTCCAATAGCCAGTGAAGAACTGAATACTGTCAATAATTACATGCATGTAGTACAAGGAAGATCCTGCCCCAAACTTTGAGATGAGACCACAACCCCTGCTGATACCTGAACTGCAACTTGTAAGAGATCTTACAGGCTTGAGGCAGAGGCACTCAGCTAAGCTACAACCAGATTTCTGATCCACACAAACTATGAGACCATAAATGGTTGTCATTTTAAGTCACTAAGTTTTAGGGTTATTTGTTATGCAAAAATGGATAATTAATACACTGAGCTTTAACAATCTAGATAGATCTGTTTTAATGCCACCTGTTACTTACTAGCTAGAATCTTGGTAGACATAATCTAAACTTTTTGAGCCTCAAATCTTAATTTGTAAAGTGGAGAATAAAAATACCTGTTATAAGATTGTTGTGACATTGATACATATCCATTAAGTAGTACATGGTATTGAGGCAGGATAGACAGATGAGGAGATAGGAAATTAAAATTAATAAATATTAAAAGGGCCAGACTCAAACATTTGAACCAGGAAGTAGAAACTGAAAAGAACCAGAACAGTTAGCTCCCTCCCACACCCCCTTTTAGATGTTAAGTACAAGAATAGGAAGACTAAAGGGGCTGCCTGTATCTGCCTTCCCCTTTGGGATAAGAATTTTCAAGGCTCCTTGAATGGGTAGAGAGACAGACTTCCTTACAAAAGGAAGTCCTAAACTCACCTACTGTTCTTGTGTTTTGGGTAGGCCTAGACTAGATCACAGCTCCATGTTCTAGAATAGCACCCATCTTAGTCACCCAGAACCATCATTCAGTGATTAGGGGCAGCTAGCTGACATGAACAAGTATATTATCCCAGCTCAGTAAAGTATAAAGCCACAGATAAGAACCACCATTTTGAGTCTTTATTCCCATTTCCTGCTGTGGGGAGCAGGAAATGTTTCTTCTTTTCTTCCCCCTCAGTTCTCTCTACTTTACCTGGATATATACTAAAATAAATCCTTGCCAAAACTTTCTTGTGAGACTCCTTGTTTTAAGACACCTTCAATTGCTTTTCATGCATGGATCCCAAGTATGTGTGATTTTGTGGAAACTGGGAAGCTGAGGGAACCCCTCATCCAATGACAGTATTATTATTATTATTATTATTATTATTAGCAGCAGGAGCAGTGAAGTCGGTGACAAAAATCCAAACATTTATGCTCTAAGCTGTGTTTAAAGCATTTTGGAGAAAAGAATAAAGAGGCATATAAAATGTGTTATTTGAAAATGACACATTCTGCCTTCCCAGGATGAATGCTACTGAGCAATGCTGTGTCAACCAATATTGTAGGAAAGGGTTGTGTTTGTGTGAAGGGAAAATAATTTCCAATTTCAACAGCTTGAGGTAGGGTGGGGTATGGAAGAGGCCAAGATGTTAAGAGTAAGTATGAAGCTTTGCCTCATATTGTATAACCTTGGATAATATCATCTGTGTCCTTATAAGAGGTACTTAAATTGCTTTTTCTAAAAAAACACTGACTCCTTACTTGGGCTCACAAATTAACTAAAAGCAGGAAAAAAGCTTGGCATCTCTGCCTCCATTTTGTATCTGTCTTTGTCTTAGCCATTTTCTCCTGCAGTCATCTTGGGTTCCAGAAAGGACAAAACTGATCAATAATATTTTTATGATGAGGGGCTGAAACTACCTGCAAGCAACAGTGAGCCTCTCAGTAAGGTGCCCCCTAAAATGAGGGCAATCATCTAGAGCTGGAGTAATCACCAACACCCTAGAGCAGGAATAATCAGTTCATGGGAACCAGATTGCTCTCCTCAAATGATGACAGTGATAACAACCTCTCTAGAACCCTTGGAGAACAAGGAATGAGATAATGACCAACCAGAATACATCTGTGACTAGGACTTTAACTATGCATACCTTTTGCCACTCTGCCCTAACTCTTTGTCTATTTAAAGCTAAAGCTCATGTCTGTACTCTGATGATGGCTGAAGATAGGCTATGCATTTCTTTGCCCCTTCTCATGGCTGCCCTTGCCATGTAATAAATCTTTCTCTGCTCTTTATTTGATATATAGGAGCAAGTGGCTGGATCTGACATGTGGAAGCCCAGAAGTTTGGGCCTGAGGTACAAAATTCTGGTTTCACCCTCAGCATCTTAGTCTCTATCAAAAATGCCAAGGGTTGGTTTGCTGTGGTCATTAAATGAGGGAACTGTTTAGGCTGTGACTGAAGAAAAAGAGTGTTCAGGGTTCTACTCTTTCTTTTTGTTGTTCCGACTAAGTACCCAATCTTAAACCAAGGCTACTCAGAGGTTGGTTCAGGGAATTATGCAGCTTCAGGAAATCCTAGACGTGCTAATGAGGAACAGAGAACATGAGGTCCCTGTAGCAAAGCTGAGGTTACCTGTACAGCATCAAAGCTGTAATCACCACCAAAATCAGCAGAATACTGAGGAATCCACCAATGGCATAGCTGATATGCAGTCCTTCACCTAGGAAGAACAGACAGACACTAGGCAGGGACTACTGACCACCTTCTAGCTGGTGCTAGTAGGGATGCAGGGGGAGAGGAAAGGCTCCTTTTGTAAGTATTGCATTGCACACCATCTAAGGATGGCAAAGAGGCTGAGAAGAAATCTCCAGCATCTCTAATCCCAGTTTTACCACTTATATGTGGCTTAAGGCAAAGGTGCTTAATTTCTAAGCCTATGTTTTTTCATTAGTTAACTATAAATAACAAATTGCTCCTAGAGCTGCTAGAGATTAAATGAGAATGTGTATATATACATATTCAATAGATTCCCCTCCACATTTGTGGTTTCACTTTCTACCATTTCAGTTACTATGGTTAACCATAGCCCCAAAATACCATAGTGCAAATGAGAAATGTTTTGAGAGAGATCAAATTCACACAATTTTTATAATTTTATAATTGTTCTATTGTTTTATAATTGTCTTATTTTATTATTAGTTACTGTTAATCTCTTACTGTGCCTAATTTATAAGGGAAACTATATTATACATTAGCATATGTATATGAGAAAACAGTATAGATAGGGCTTTTTACTATCTGAGGTTTATGGCATTCACTGGTGGTCTTGGAACATATCCCCCAAGGATAAGGGAAAGGTACTGTACTCACACACATATATGTGGCATACACATGGCTTATCAAGTGCCTTACATGTGGAAAGCACATCATAAGTGGTAGCTATTATGATTACTATTTCTATGCATTTAGTCTACACAAAGTTCATCAACTCCATAAGAATCCTCATGAGGATTATGAGAGATATCAAGAGAGACTTACAGTCCTTATATGTCCTTAAAAAACAAACAAACAAACAAACAACAACCAACAGTTGATCCCTCAGTGCTTACCTGGAGCAGCAGGTACAGCCTCATTGGAATGTACACAGAGGCCCAAGTGGGCATCCCTTTCAGAGCATCTGTGGGCATGGAAAACTTAGCATGAAGGCTACTTGTATTCACAAAAGATCTCACTCTCCTCCAGGAAAGATGAAAAGGCCTGTGAGTGAGGTTTTTAGATATGAGAACATACCAGGTGGGAGATTTTAGAAGTATGGAGAGGGTAGAACCAGGAAATAAAGAAATCAACATGAATCACTGATTTTTAAGATGCTATACCATGTTTAAATGTGTTTTCACTTAGGTGTCTTTAAAAATGAGAGGCAGGTTTGGGTGTGAGCTGAAAGTCTAAAGACTATAAGGATATCAATACTAGGCTTTCTTAAACTACCAGGATGAGTGAGAAATAGCCACTAGTCAAGCAAATCTGATTGGTTAAGGATTATAGCAAGGTCCACATATCACAAGGTCAAAAGAAATTGTTTTTTCTTCCCCTCATTATTTCATGAGGGAATATGCAAATCCAGAGGGAGTGCTCAGATAACTAACTTGAAATGCTCAGAAGGTAAATTCTTTTATTTTTTTGGCAGTACTGGGATTTGAACTCAACGCCTTGCACTTACTAGACAGGTGCTCTACCACTTGAGCCATGCCCCCAACTCTTTTTGCTGTATTTTTCAAGTGAGGTCTCACCGTTTATGCCCAAGCTGGGCTGGATCACCAAGCTCCTATTATGACAGGCATGTGCCACCTCGCCCAGTTTTTATTGGTTGAGATGGGGTCTTATGAACTTTTTCCCTGGGCTGGCCTCAAACTGTGATCCTCTCATTCTCCATTTCCCAAGTAGATAAGATTATAGGCATGAGCTATTGTACACAGCAAGAAAGTAACTTCTTTGTGGCATCTGATGAGCAGGTAATTAAAGGTATCTCCTCAAAGTCTGGGGGAAAAGCTATTTGCAAGAGCATCTGAAACCAAAACGCACTGAATGTTCAAATAACTCTTAATAGTCAGAAAAAGTCTGAAGTGGGGTCATAAGTTTTCCAAATAAACATAGAGGCTGGGTATGTAGCTCAATGGTAAAGCACTTGCCTAGCATGCATGAGGTTTTATCCATAGCAAAAAAAAAAATCCCACCCACCCTACTCCCTTGCCTGCCAAAACCCTAGACAAAACCTGAGATTAATAATGACTGATAGAGAACTGGCTCAAATAGTAGAGTGCTTGCCCAGGAGGTGTGAGGCACTGAGTTCAATACCCCAGTACTGCAAATAAATAAATAATGATCGATATGTGGGTTCCATGTTGTAGTGGTGAACACTCTGGACTCCGAATCTAGTGATCTGAGTTCAAATCAGTGGAACTTAACATTTGGGCTGGTGGAGTGGCTCAAGTGGGAAAGCGCCTGCCTAGCAAATGCAAGGCCCTGAGTTCAACCCCCAGTACTGCCAAAAAAGAAAAAAAAAAGATTGACAGTACTTCAAAGTTACTGAAAAAGGTACATGTTTATATTTGGGTGTTTGCTCTTCCTTACAAACTATAGTAAATAGAGAGTGGGGTACACAGCATATGCATTTGCTCATGTACAAATGTTAGAACTTTGGAGGCACTGAGTTTAGAGCACTTATTTGGAATTATTGTTATATTTCTGCTTTCAGAATTGAAATCAAGTGCCAATAATCTTTTAAGCTGTAGTTGATATCATCTTTGATATATTTATTTATTTATGGTACTGGGGATTGAACTCAGGGCCTCACACTTGCTAGGCAAGAGCTCTATCATTTGAGCCATGCCCCCAGACCTGAAATATAATATTTTATACTTGATTTGAGACTCTCTCATGTTTTATACTTGCTTGTTTAATAATTGCATGTGTGCAAGCATGAGTGCCAAGGCCACTATAAGCTAAGGCAATCACCTTTTGTTACAAGTCATAAAACTGCAGCCCAGAGATCACTGTAGGACAAGACCATATATTAAACTTGTGACTTGAGAGCAGAAAAGATAGAGCAAGAAGGAGGGATACATGTGGAAAACTCCCCCTGAGTGATTCACTTTAAAGCTGTTCTTAAAGCTTCTTGTCCTCAGAGCTAAAAAAGTCACTTGCAATAACCTACAGTCTAAATGTCACCTGCTGTCCCAAATAGCAGGGACTAGTGGTTCATGTGATCTACATCCCAGCCGTCAGGATTATCAAGCCTGGACAGTAGTCTTCTGCTGATGAGGCACAGTAGAATCATAGGGTCCTCAATTCTGTATTGATTCAACTTACCTTCCTTCTGACTCCTCCAGAGATGTGTGGGTCCTCGTGGTAGAAGAACGCAAGGTGGTGGGCAGTGTATTGGGTAACACTGGGCTCTTTTCACTCATGCTGGTTGCCCTGGGAGCTGGGGGCACTAGGCCAGGTACTGGAGAGAAAAGAGGATTGGAGTGAGGCACTAGAACCCAAAACCTCTACACATGGTCCAAGAGTAGCAGCTGCAGAACTTGACAAAGCTATCTTTTAGCTGCCCTAACCCTAGGCACCCTTATTTAATACTATAAATAAAAAGGATTTGGACTCAATATTAACAGTTCTGGATATACTAGCTGGTCCACAAAGGTCAGGAATAGAGAATTAATCACTGATGATCCCCACAGCAGGGGTCTGGAATCAGAAATCCCGAATTCTGCTCCAGTGAATGCCAGAGGGCAAGCACAGGTCTGAGCAGCTCCAAAGCCTAAACACATTGCTTCCAGTCATTCCACTAAACCTTCTGAAGGGGAATCCCATCCATCAGGACAAAGATGAGGCTGTTGGTCCTCTACCCTTCCAAGGACTCTGTTGTTCCAGAGGCCACTCAGTCCAACTCACCAAGGGAGCAGGGCCGGCTATCAGGCTCATCAGGGCAGGCACACACAAAGTCCAAGGCTCTGGCAAAGCAGAGGTGAGTGCAGCCACCATTGTTCACACCACAAGCATTGGTCCCTGAAGGCAAAGCAGATGCATGTCTGGCCTGGGGCAGAATTGGGTCTCCCAACTTAACACTTCTCAAAAAGGAAGATATCCAGGGCTACCCCACTCGCAGGGACAGTAGGACAAGAAGGAGATAATCACAAGGGGGTAAAAAGGTCTAAGAGCTTAAAACATGAGCCAAAAGGCTCTCCTATGTCTCTAATTGTCTTGGTTACTAACAGTCCTTGGGTGACTATAACCAGGCCCACTGATGGTGAAGAAGCAGATTCAGTACTCAGTGGCCCACCTGTCTGCCGCTGAGGGGAAACCACGATGATATCCATGAGTCCTTCCACATTTGCCAACACTGTCTCTTTGTTGCGGCCTGAGTATTTGTCAACACGCTGGATGGACTTGGTCTGCCAGTCTGTCCAATAGATCCACCTGTCTTGCTACTCAAAGGGAACCCAAAAGACAGGAGATATTCAGCAGTCAGACCCCAATGCCACTTCTGTGCTCCAGAATGCACTCTACCTTCTGCTGAATTGCCCTCTCCATTTCTTATCCATCAGGTCAACTTCTGTGCATCCCTAGATATGACATTGTCCAGGAAATTGCCCCAAATCCATAGAGCTCACCATTCTCTCCTTCATGCTGTACCTTGCAGTTAATTCTACATGTAGTTCTGATATCTACAGTAGTATGTTTACATTTCTCTCTGCCTCGTCCAATTTAGTTCTTCAAGGATATGAATGTGCCTTACTCATCCCTAAGTCTGCAGCACCTACACACAGTCCCCAATCAGATGAGTGGGTGACTTTCTATCTAGAAAATAGGAATAAATTTGAAGGTTCTTTTAGGTTCTTGTTCTCTCGGGCCCTTTTCCCAGGGCTCTGACCCAAATCTTTTCTGCAGCTTCCCTCTAACATAATAATCGTGAAATTCTCAACCAGGATTGGAGGGGCAATGAACGTGTTTCTCCTCCTGCTTGGGAGCATATTATTAGAAACTTCAGGAGAAAACTTGTAGACTGAAAAAACATATTCAGTATTCACCCATTATTAAGTAAAGCAGACAAAATCTTTTTGGCTGATATAATTCAGAATACAGAAGGTGTGTAGCTCAATGGTAGAGCACTTGCCTAGCATATATGATGAACTGGGTTCAGTTTCCAGAATCAAAAAGGAAAAAGAAACAGAATACAGAGTGGATAATGTTTATTAAGCAGAAACAAGGATTTTTATTTTTATTTTGCAGTGTTGAGGATTGAACCCAGGTCCTTACAAATACTAGGCAAGCGCTTTATCACTGAGCTACACCTCCAGCCTGAGACAAGGATTTTTAAATGACTAAGAATTCCTGTTTTAGCCCGAGTCTTGGTAGATCTTCTTTTTCCTCCCCCCACTTTATCTTTCAGTATTAAAATTCTCAAAAACAACAGCTAAAACTCATTAAAATGAGAGATAAAATGCATTTAGTACTTACTGTGTACCAGGTCTTGTGCTAATGCTTTGTATGTCCTTCAGAAGATTACTATTACTATACCAGTTTGTTTTGTAGGAAACTGAATTGCACAGAGATTCAGTTTCTTGTTCAAAGTTGCACAGTTACTTAATAATAGAGACAGAACTTGAATCCAGATACCTGGATTATTGAAGGTACTGAATGAACACTTAACAACTATGCGAGGGGAAGGTGGCTCACACCTGTAATTCTAGCTATGTAGGAGACAGAGATCAGGAGGATAGTGGTTTGAAGCCAGTTCTGACAAATAGTTTGCAAGACCTTACTATCTCTAAAATACACAACACAAAAAAGGACTGGTGGTGAAACAAGGAAAAAAAAAAAAGTACTAGTGGAGTGGCTCAAGTGGTTGAGCACCTTCTAGCAAGTGTGAGGCCCTGAGCTCAAACCCCAGTCCCACCAAAAAAACCCACAACCAACCAATCAACCTACCAAACAAAAAACAACTATTTGGAGGCATTAAAGCTATGGCCTTTAGCCACTCCACCCTACTTCAACTTAGCTCTTGAGCTCTAACGCTAGGACTACATACAGCATTAAGATCACTAGAGGAACTTATGAAAATGCATATTCCAAGGCCAGGAATGGTTGCATGCATGCACACACACACACACACACACACACACCTGTAATTTCAGCTATGCAGGAGGCAGAGATAGGAGGATTGCAGTTCAAGGCCAGCTCTAGGCAAAAATGAGAGACCCTAACCTAAAAAATAAACTAAAGTAAAAAGGGCTGAGGGTGTGGCTCAAGGGGTAGAGCACTGAGTTCAAACCCCAGTACAGAAAAAAAAAAAAAAAGCACATTCCTTGGCCCAGTCCTCACAAGGCACTTTCTCTATAACTAAGAAAGGAAACTGCACTTTAATAAACTCTTAACTGATTCTATGTACCTCTGTTTGACAGCCACTCCTTCAAATACTAGAACATGGGAGTGTGAGAGGCTTAGAACCCCAAGGAAACACCCTAGTCAGGAAGTTTTAGTTACCTCTCTCCTGAGCCAATACCTGTGTGAGAGCAAAGGGGTGGGACACATGGCTGACCAACACCTGCCGCAGCTTCCCATTGAGATCAGCACTCTCAATCCGGTCCAGGTGTGCATCTACCCAGTAGATTCTGCAAAGAAAAGAGAAAAGGATGGTTGCTGGGGAAGGGAAGCCTACTTCCTTCTATAAGAAGCTGTCTATCCCCTCCTGAGTTGAAGGGACAGGTTCTGTGAGTATTCAAGAAGAACCTGTGATGAGAGGCCATTGTAAGTCCCAAAGCTGAAGAAGGAGGTTTGTGATTCATAAGGAGGGAGACCAAGGCTGTTCTGGGGAGGTGTACAGAGTCTAGGGACATCAGGGAGCCACCACCCAGTCTCATCTTTGGCAACTTAATCACCCAAAAACCTAAGCCCAAATTCTTACATGTGGTCTTCAAGAAAACAGCTCAGTCCACATTGCCCTTCTCAAGGCTAAAAGAAGAGGGCATTCCACTAACTTTCCAAGTGATCGTGATTCCTTTCCTTTCTTCTGGGGGCAGAAAGGGAAACAGACTGCTTCAGAGCCCCTTTCACTTTTTTCTCCTGCCCTTCAGCACTTTTAATCTAGACTAGGAGTTGCAAATTCCAGTGTCTGAAGGGATCATGTGAGTAACAAATGTAAGAATCAGCCAATAAAGGATGGGGGAAGTGGGCCCTGTGGTCCAGCCAGAGGATATGCTCTGCTAGAGGCCCTCAAACAAAAACATGTAAACCCAGCAGACAAAACTCGGCCGAGAACTGGATTTACCAACTCCTGCTCCAAAAACACATTGCCTCATCCTTTTCACTGCTTCCTCTTCCCCACTTGTCAAGGGGCTTTCCATCTTTTCATTTTCCCTACTTTAGGCTCAACTGCCTGCCCTCTCCTTGGCCCATCTGATTTCTAAGAGGTTGTTTGGGACAGGATTCTCACCTGCGGGTGTCATAGTCCAAGGTAAGGCCATTGGGCCATCCTAGGTCTGTATTGATGAGAACCTTCCTCTCAGAACCATCCAGGTTTGCCCGTTCAATCTTGGCAATGTGGCCCCAGTCTGTCCAGAAGAGGTACCTGAGACAGAATAGTGACATTGTCATCAATGCATGGGGAAATGGCATCCATTTGTTGACAGAGTACAGTGGACACACCAATACCACTAACACATAAGTGCCTTCCAAGAGCCTCTCTTCCACCAGGCCCTTCTTCCCTGGATCTCTGCTAGCCACAAACTTACCCCTTCCTGGGGAAAACAGCAATGGCCCGGGGTTCATCCAGGCTGTTGTTGATCAGCACTTTGCGGCAGGAACCATCCAGCCGCGAGGCCTCAATGGTATTTCGGCCTGTATCTGTCCAGTACAAATTCCTGGCCACCCAGTCCACTGCTAGTCCATCTGTGGTCTTCAACCCACGCCCGATCACTGTCTCCATGTGACTGCCATTCAGGTCCGCTCGCCTTGGGGAGAACCCAGGATGAAATGAATAACCAGATTGACTAGGAATACACTGAAACTCCCTTAATCCATTACTGGAACCCCACTAGATTTTAAGCTCCACAGAGGCAGAGACCAAGTATATATCAGTACATTCCTCAGCATCCAGAATGATAGGTGGTAAAATAACATTTCTAGAATGAATGAAAGAATACTTAGGAGGACAGAATGTTTCCTGAAAACTGGCAATAGCAGAGAATTCGGGCCTTTGTTTTGCCACAGGACAGGTTAATCATTCCCCATATATCTTTAGGAGAAGCCAAAGATTGCTAGGTAGAAGAAAGGCAGATTGGGGCTGGGAATACAGGTCAGTGGTAGAAAGAGTGCTTGCCATGTGTGGAGGCCCTGGGTTCAGTCTCCAGCACATTAAAAAGAAAAGAAAAGAGGGCTAGGGACATGGCTCAAGTGGTACAGTGCCTGCCTGGCAAGTACAAGGCCCTGAGTGAGTTCAAACCCTAGTGTTACCAGGAAAAAAAAAGACAAAGAGAAGAAAGGGAAAAAGGAAAGAAAAGAAAAGGCAGACTCATCAAAACCTACTTGTGCATTTCTACAGAGGCCCTACACCAGGGAACTCAACGTTAGGATGAAGAGCATGTCACAGTCACCTGTGGGATTTCTAAATCATGCATGCCCACCTGCCCCAGCATAAGATTCTAATACATCCTCAGGGAGAACAGAGGCATATATCCCTGTTCCGCATGTAAGAATCTCTGCCATAGTAAGCCACTCTAATGGTAGCAGAGCATCATATTCCTGGACTGTGTTGGGATTAGAAATTTAAAGAATACTAAAAATAAAAAACATTAAAAACAATTTGTAAACACCATTACCTTGACATTGGGCCACAGCTCCTTTTCTACCATATGGATCCCAGTTACACAGCCTACACATTGATAAGTACTAAGGGATTCTTGGAGCTCCCTTAGGGCTCAGTGGTAGGTAGAAAGCCTCAGGTCCCTAGCCTGACTTTGTTTTTTGTTTTTGCTTTTTCTAATTTGTTTTATATACTAGGTCTTTATTTTTCAATACAGGGTCCTGCTGTGTTGTCCAGGCTAGCCTTGAATTTATAATCCTTTTGCCTCAGCCTCCCAAGTGCTGGGATTATAGGCGTATGCCACCATACCTGGCTCTGTTTTTTTATTTTTACTTTTTGAGACAGGGTCTTACTGTGCTCCCCAGGCTGGCCTCGAACTGTGATCCTCCTGCTTCCCCAAAAGCTGGGATTCATTTAATCCAACAAATGAACAAAAGTTTGGAACTCTGCTCTAAGTAATAGCACCACAGAGTGAATAAATCAGGATTAGAATTCAGTGTTCAAAATTGCCAAATCACTTGGTCTATTTAGATGTCAACACAGAAAGTAACCTCATTCACCTATGAGGTATGTCCCTTGCAATTTCAGTGTACTCATACCTGATAACATCCAAGAACACATCTGTGTAGTAGACCTTTCCATCTATACTATCATAGTCCAGGGAGATGACATTGTTGAGCTCAGGAACAGGGACATGCACATCTGTGTGATCACTGGTGTCCAGGGAGATACGCCGAATGGAGCCTCGGCTAGAGAACAGCAGATAGGTCTCTGGAGAGGGATCACAGGTCTTTCCATCCCCCTTCAGCTGGATTCCCGTGGGGCAGGCACAGGAAAATCCAGAGGGCCGAGGTAAGCAGAGGTGGGAGCAGCCGCCATTTCTTGAGCTGCACTTATTAAAACCTGATGAGAGAAGCATGAGCTTTCACACCCAAGCCTGGAGCACTATGTGACTCACACTAATGTGCTAGTTTCTTGTGGCTGATTCCTTGCTGTTCTAAGTGACCTCATTTAGCATCTGGCAGGGGTGAAGTAGAGAGAGTGTCTTCAAGAGTCCTTGGAAGGTGACAGCATCAAACAGTTTTTGCACCAGTTATACCCAGAGGGAACACAGCCTGACCCTGGAAAGGGGCTTATGCAAGTCACTGTCTTTCTGATTATAAAGGAATTCTGTGCTCTGGATATATCTCTGCTGTTGAGATAGCCCCAGAAGTCCAAAGGCTCTGACTCACAACCCCAGGGGTCTTCTCACCCAGTGGCTGTGCCCGATCCACAGCCTGGATGTCCATGAGGCCTGGAAGGTTAGACCTCACTAGGATGACACTGCTGCCAGTACCCTTGTCAGCACGGTGGATGCTGCGGGTCTGCCAGTCAGTCCAGTAGATATAGGAGTCAAGCAGAGTGAGGCCATATGGGTGCTGCACTGGTGACACCAATGTACGCCGATTGGCACCATTCAGGTCAGCGACTTCAATTCGCTGTAGAGGAATGAGAAAGTGGGAGGTATGTCAAATGAATGGGAGCCTTGAACAGGCCTCTTCTATCTCTCCAGGATTCTTGGAAACAGCAGGGATGGGGCTCTTACCTCAGTGTGGGCATCAGCCCACAGTAGTTGGGAGCTGGCCTTGTCCACAGTCAGTCCATTGGGCCACCCTAGGTTGTTGTTGATGAGCACGGTGCGGTCTGAGCCATCCATACCAGACCGCTCTAACTTGGCATTCTCCCCCCAGTCTGTCCAGTACATGAACCTGTGTAAGGAAGCATACAGCTGATTATTCTAGTAGCAACTTTGTACCATGAGTACTTAATATATGTCAGACATACTGTGAGTACTCACAGCATGCCAGTTACTTTGCAAAGTACTTCAAATGCATTATGTTACTTAATCTTCACAAGGGCCACAAACTCTGTATTTTCATTGTCACCTCTGTTTTACAGATAAGGAAGCTGAGAATCAGAGAGGGTGAACACTAGCTCTGAAGTGATGCAGCTAAATACATAATGAAAGAATCTGAATCCTGGTCTTCTGACTCCAAAGCTCATGCTTTTAACCTGTACACTATGCAGACACACGGTCCAGGAGGGTCAGTGTGACACATGCTTGTTCTGCATTGGACACCTTTTTCTTATTCATACTCCTCGCTGAGTTGGCCCATGCCATTACCCAGAGCAACAGAGCCAGCTCTCACCCCATCTCGTGGTACAGTACAATGGCCCGGGGACTGTCAAGGTTCTGCCAGACCAACACTTTGCGCATGGATCCATCCAGGTTGCCCACTTCAATCCGGTTTGTTCCTGTATCTGTCCAGTACACTTTCCGGCCAATGGCATCTACTGCGAGCCCATCTGTGGTCTGCAGCCCTGCAGGAAGTCAGAAGAGCACTCTGACTCCTGCTTTAAAACAGATGGGATATTTCCCAGTTCTGTAGCCAGACAGGTAGTCTCTGGGCTGGGCGGAAGGCTCACCTGTGGTGATGATGTCCTCATGCTGTGAGCCATCCAGATTGGAACGGCTGATCCTATGCAGCGTGCTGTCAGACCAATATACTTTTCCTGGAGAGGGAAGGCTTGGCTCAACCCAGTCCCTCCCCTCCCATAATGATACCCACAGCTGACTCATGTCCTAAGGCACTGGGTCATGTCAGAGAGCCCCTAGTGAAGGAAATCAAAGAAAATTGTGAAATATCATAGCAGGATAGCTCTTGGCAAAGATGGAGAGAGAAAAGCCCCACACCACAGTGAAAGTGTTTTACAGACAGGAATGGGGCTATGCCAGAGGGAACGGGTAGCCCCCAAGCTTTGAGCAGGAGGCACAGGTAGTAGGGAAGAAAGGACAACAGTTGCTGTTGGACAGGGACAGGCCAGATGAGAAGGAGAGCCACACAAACCTTCCTCAGGGTCTACTCCAATGGCAATCGTGTTCTTCATGGTCATGTTGATGGGTACCACCACATCAGCAAAATAAGGAATGTCCAGGGACACCATGCGTATATCTATCCTCCTGGCGAAGATGAGGAAGCTATTCATCCCTGTCCAAGTGGAGAGAGAAGGAGGGAGGACAATCACTCCAGAAAAGCCATTTAGAGGATTTGGAGTCAGGCAAACTGAAGCTCTTGCCTCAACCCTGCTAGTTGAGGCATGCGTGATCCTAGGCGAGGTACTGAAACTACTTAAACCCTAGTTTCCTGATCTGTAAAACAAGGACAGTAATAGGGTGGCTATAAGGATTTAAAGAAATCATGTACATAGAGCACTAGCATTAAGCCTCACATATTCATAAATGATACTTCTTCACTCATACTATGGAAGCAGCTCTCTTTGAAGGGCCCTTTGCCATGAAACTTAAGAGAGGGAATAGGGCTGGGGGCATGGCTCAACCGGTAGAGCACCTGCCTAGCAAGTAAAAGGCCCTGAGTTCAAATCCCAGTACCACCAAAAAAAAAAAAAAGAGAGAGAGAGAGAGAGAGAATGAGAAAGTAAAGGGGCCTAAAGGGCTTTACTCACAACCTAGAAGGCTCTCAAATTCCTTGGGAGGGGATTACAGTTCAAATGTGGCCTATCATGCAGCATCCTCTAGGGACAAACCTTGACTTCCAACATCTTCATAAGCAGGTCCTGCTTCTAGGACCCTCCCATGAAGTTGTCACATAGTAGACACACCTCAGTGGGGAAGTTATCATTACACTGTAGATATCATACATTTTTATATTTATTATACCAATTTTGAGCAGAAGAAAGTAAAGAATCTTGTTCTAACAAAATCAGTATTACAGTTTTCCAAAAGACGAAACTTTCTTGAGATAGGAAAATCTTTTTTTTTTTTTTTTCAGTACTAGGGTTTGAACTCAGGGCTTCACACTTGCTAGGCAGAAACTCTATTGCTTGAGCCACACTGCCAGCCCAGAAGCATCTTTTTCTAATATGCATGAATACCATGAGAACCATTATGAACCTGCCTCTAGTCCTGTCCCTTGGACCTCTCTCTTCTTCTAAAGCTCTTAGTCTCTTTCCTAAGCCTCTAGAAGCACCAACACTCATGGATTCTCAGACCACATTAGAGGACATTTGCAGGGGAAAAAGGGCCACTTCTCCTCCCAGACAGGAGGCTCTACCCAGATCTGTGATTCTTTAACTCACCTGGTGAACAGGTCTTGCCATCAGGGAGCAGGTTGATGCCTGTGGGGCAGGTACAGCTGAAGCCACTTGGTTTGGGGGATCGAAGACACAAGTGGCTGCAGCCACCATTCTGCATAGCACATGGTGTGGTCACTGTGTAGGGAAGAGGAGAGGAGATCAATGGGGCAGACCTCGGCATAAGAGGCCTGAGGAAAAGCCATGCAAGGCTGAGGGCTGCTCACCTGGTGGCCGTCGGCGATGAAAAACATGGATGTCCATGAGATTCTCCAGGTTCTCCTGCAGGGTCTCCCGGTCTAGCCCAGTCAACCGGTCAGCACTCTGTATACTCTTGGTCTGCCAGTCAGTCCAATAGATGCGCTCTCCATAAAGGGTGAGTCCAAAAGGGTGGGGGAGCTGACTTCCTATCAGCACCTGCCAGGGCCCCAGCACTTGTGTCATTCCCAGTGAAGTAAGACAATACAGAGTCACTATCAAGACCTTGGCATGAAGTTAGAATTTTGCTCTGCCAGTGACCATTACCTAGAGTTAGTTATATAATCTCTGTGACTCTTGATCTCCCAATCATGATATGAATGTGCTAGTGCCTTGCTCCAAGGGTCATGTGATGATCTTATTTATTTATTTTTCTTTCTCCTTTTATTTTATCATTTTTACATTTACTTACATGTGTATAAATTGTTTGTGCCACCCCCCCAACCTCGAGTGATGATTTTATAAGATCATGTATTACTTACATAATCTAAAAGTATCGTGGAACAAATTACAAAAGGAAAAATAGTAACTTTACAGTGGACACCACTTTAGCCAGGCAATCAAAGTAGATATCATGATAACGAGACAAGCCAACATCTGTGCCTACTGATGGAGGACCCAGGATATGACTCCACTTAATGTAGTATACCTGTCCCAAATGTATAATCTGAATCCAATTACAAGGAAATATTAGACAAGCCCAAATTGAGAGACATTCTATAAAAGAATTGGCTTTTTCTTTTTAAAAATGCAAAGGTCATGAAAGTCATAGAAATGGTAGTGAAATTGAACATGAATTATAGATTTTACAGTAATATGGCGTCAATGATAAATTTCCGGTTTTGATAATTGTACTGTGGTTATAAGACAAAGTCCTTGTTCTTAGGAAGTGTGGACTGGAATATTTTGCAATCAGGCAAGGTGTCTCCTTCTAAATCTTAGATGGTTCAGAAAAATAATTGTGTGTATGTGTGTGTGGAGAGAGAGAGAGAAGAACGAGAACAACAAAGCACATGCAGCAAAATGTTAGTTATTTGTTCTTTTTACTATTCTTACAACTTTTCTGGAAATTGTAACAAAATAAATAACAGTAAAAACAAAAAGAGATCATGGATTCAGTGTACAATTGGTGATTAATTAGTGTTAGTTGTGGTGGGTATTAGGACAGTCTGTGCATTTATACTTCCAGCCCACAATCCACACAATCTCCTAGTTTGCTTTCATCATCAACTGACTGTCCCCTACCCCTCCTCCTGCTCCCCAACTCCAGAGGGCAACTACAGCCTCAGAGAAACAGAACATGCCCCCTTGCACCTGTCAGCTGCCAGCCAGGGAATACTGTGGGAAGATGCCTTAGTGCCTCCCTTACCTTCCTTTTGCTGCCATCCAATCCAGAAAATTCAATTGTCTTCATGCCAGCATCAGCCCAGTATAGCCGCTGGGACCCATAGTCAATAGCTAATCCATTAGGCCAGGTCAGATTAGAAGAGATGATGACCTGGCGGGCAGAGGCATCCATGCCAGCTCGCTCAATCTTGGGACTTGCACCCCAGTCAGTCCAATACATGTACCTGGGCACAGGCAAGGCAGGTCTTAACAAACCTTCCAGTTAATATCCAGTGGAGCCTGGGAGTATAGCTCAGTAAATGGTAGAGCATTTGCCTAGCATGTGTGAAGTCCTAGGTTTAATACCTAGCACAGAAAAATGAATACCCAGTGGGGACTACAGTACCACAGGGTTTTAGGATTTCTGCCTGCAATAGCTACCCCAGCCTGTTGCCTCACTGACAATCCCAGCCCTGGGCTCAGAGCTGCCCCTGAAGGCCTTGTATCTTCTATCACTATCGAAACGAGGGTCTTGATAAAGGGAGAGCCCATGGCTCAAGTGTACACAGAAAATGATGCCTCCTTGGGAATAGGGAAAGAGGGGAGGGAGATGAGGACTAAGAAGTGTTTTCTTAACTAGGTAGGTTAAAATGAGGTACATAAATTTAACAGAAATCTACATAACCACAAAGAACAAGATAGAACTATGTACTCAAATGGAAAGATATATGATATATAGCCAAACCAAACAAAAAAAGTCCCAAAATGGTATGTCGCTTTTATAAAACCAAAACCACCACCACAAAATATTTACATACATTTAGAAGAAAATCTGGAAAAAATACCCTGAACTATTAACAATGGTTATGGCTGGGGATTTTCACTTTCTACAGATTTTATTCTCTATAATAACAAATTGCTTTTAGCAGCAAACAAAATAAATAAATAAAAAAATTTAAAAGGCAAATAAAAAATTTTAAAAGTTTCTTTAGACTGGAAACTCAAGAAGTACAGTGCCTGCCTAGCAAATGCAAAGCCCTGAGTTCAAACTCCAGCACTGAAAAAAAAAAAAAAAAGGTTTCCTGGTCTATAGAGGAGACAGGGCTGTCATTACCCTCTGTGGATTCTACAGCTGCCCTTGCTTCCCTGATACACCTACAAGATCTGGCCATTCTCCCTGATCTCCAGACTCCTCTCTAGTTCTCAGATCTTGGGAGGGTCAGAGCTCCAAAGGGGACAGTCTCACCCGCCCGTGGGTTCCACTACAATGTCCCGAGGCCGATCAAGGTTCTCCCAGATGAGTACTGTCCTCATGCTGCCATCTGTGTTGGCCACTTCAATCCGGTCTGTACCTACCAAGCAGTAAAGGTAAAGATATTAACCCCAGTCCTGCTCATTCACCTTCTTACCCTACTTGTTTGGCACATATCCTGGCATGTAGTAAATGTTTAGTAAATATGTTGTGACAGAGGCATAATGGCTATTTAGTGAATTAAACCATGAGAAGAAATTCAAGGAAGTGATCAGTCTGATTTCTTGAAAGAGCAGGACTCCCAAATGTAGGCAGCAAACTCTGTCCTATACTTTAAGGCAATGATTCTTTAGTGTGCCTAAGAATCAGACAAGCTTATTAAAACACAGATACCCGAAGTCTGATTCTGATTCAGTAAGTCTGGAGTGGGGCCCCAGAATTTGAATTTCTAACAACTTCCCAAGGTATGCTGATGCTGCTTGTCCAGGGACCACACTTAGGTAGCATTGGGTTAAAGGCAACCTTTTTGCCTCCCACACCCCCTGGCTCATACAAAATGCCTCTCTTATCCCAACAGCAATGGAAGGAAACCACAGGGAATAGGTTCATTGGCTGAAATGCCCCAAAATACTTCCAAGAATCAACTACATCACAGAAGCAGCTGTCCTTTGACTAACAAGTACCAAACCCTCAGATGTGAGCTTATTGCTTCAGCTCTATAGCAGCCTGACCACTTCTGTCCTACCAATGACCTTAGGGTCAGGACAGATTCAGTCCAGGAGGGCACCAGGCCTGTGTTTTAAATAAAAATCCCAGGCAGCAGGATTACATCTGCCCATACATACCTGCATCTGTCCAGTATAGCTTGTTGGTGACCCAGTCAATTGCCAGGCCTGCAGGGCTCTCCAAACTGGTATCCACTACCACCTGGGCAGGAAGCAAAGCTGTATCACCAGTTGTTCTTCCATTCTAGCTCTGGACCCCAAACTCCACCAAATCACAAGGTATGGGAAGCCCTTCCTCTGGAGAGGTCAGATTCCAACTCTCAATCTCCACCCTCTCTGAAGGCCTGGGTCCATGCTGGGCCCTACCTCCTGTCCTGTTCCATCCCACTTGGCCCTGCTGATGGTATCAGTGCTGACATCTGTCCAGTACACGTGGTCATCCCTGGAGTCCCAGTCAAGGGCCACAGCACTGCGCACGTCAGCCAGTGGGATGACATCGTCGGACAGGTCCTCTGTGTCAAAGCTGATCCGACGGATGTCCATCCTTCGGGCAAAAAGCAGGAACTTGTCAAGACCTGATCAAAGGCCGAGAGGGGTCTTCTTTTAATGTTCTAAATCCAGTAACAGTGACAGACACAGATGCTTGTCTGTGTGATGCCTGGTTCAATCACACTTCCTGGGATCTGTTGCTCTTTGCCCCCTACTATTCATACCATGGGCCCCCCTTAAGCACTGGGCTAGCAGAATCAACTGTTAGAATTCAATGGAAACAGACTCTACCCAGGCCCCAGAAGTATGTGTTGTTTAAGTGTCTGTCAAATTCATCTAAATTTTTCTCTCCTCTGGCTTCTCTCAATCTTTTCTAGTTGGACCACTACCAACTCCCCAAGCCTACTTCTGTTTCAGGACTTCTGCCTCTGTATTTTTGTTTGTTTCTGGTTTTTTGAGATAGCGTCTCATTATATAGCTCAGGTTGGCCTCAAACTCATGATCTTCCTGCCTCTTGAGTACTTGGATTGCAAACATGCATCACCACATCCAGCTAGAGCTTCTGCTTCTACTCCATCATCTAGATCCTTCCTCTTACTTTTCTCTTCACACCTTTAACCAATAATGACTATGCACAAAGCACCTTGACAGGCACTGAGCTTAGTGATTAAAAAAGCCTGATACTACATACCAACTCTTCATGGTATATTATCCTTTTTTTTTTTTTCAGTACTGAGGTTTGAATTCAGGGCCTCAGTACTTGCTTAGGCAGATGCTCTACTTGAACCATACCCCGGCCCTTTTTGCTTAGGTATTTTTCAAATAGAGAATGTATGCCTGGGCCAGCCTGAACTATGATCCTCCTATTTGAGCTTCCTGTATGGCTGGGATGATTGGTAAGCACCACTGTGCCCAGCTTTTTATTTCTTGAGATGGGGTCTTGTGAGTTTTTTACCCAGGCTGGCCTCGAACTACAGTCCTCTCTGCCTCATGAGTAGCTAGGTTTACAGGGTTGAGCCACTGCAGTTGACTGAATCTGCAGATTTGGAACCCACAGATAGGGGGGCCCACTATACACTTTTCTACTCAAAAAGGTACTTTCTGGAGAACTTTATCAACTGTTTCCTTCCAAACTCTGGGAAACCCTAAGGGGAAGTGGAAAGGCCTGGGGAAGCATCTTGCATCTCAGTAAGATAAGAGGAGAGTCAGGCACAAAAGAATGCAAGTGAAAAACACATTGCATTAAACCAGATTCTCAATCAGTGTATGTTTGAATGAAATCGCTGGATGTTTTCCCTAATTGTATTCTCTGGAAAGGACTCAAATGTGAAGAAAATTTGATTTTAACTAAATTTAGGAGGGCCAATGGGGTACACAGTGGTAAATAAGGAATGTGATGTGTAAGGAATTATCCCAGGCCCCTGGTGTTGTGCCATTCACCTGATCAATCCTGTCTGTACTATTCTTAGGAAAAGTTGCCCGTGAAGCTAAGCTTTCTAGAGCCAACTTGGCAAGACAACAACCCTACAGGTACTCAAAAGAAGCCAAAACAGTGGTCCAGGCAGAGACTGGGGAATCTTATCATCTTTAACTTGTTACACACAAGGGCCTACTTATGCAGAGTATCATCAGAGATTCTAATTTTCGCTCCCTGTTCTAAGGGCTGAAAGAAAGCCTCCTAAGAGGTGAGGCTAAAGGTAAAGAGGTTGGCAATCATTCCCCTGCTTTCTAGCAGAAACTAGAACCCCCTTGCTGTCTAACATAAAGCACCCTGCCTAATAAAATGAAACATAGGCCTTGTTGCATATGTCCATACTGAGGGGTGTGGCTGAGCATTCATTCAGCAAGTACTGCTGGAACCTCAGACCTTAGCTTGGATTCAGGATCTCTCTGTCTCTTAAGTTCTTCTGCTCTATGGGCTCTCTGAGGACTCTGGCTCTTCTCCATGACAAGAAACCCCTCCAACTCCTGTCTTTTGTTCCTTCCACCCTCCCTCAAAAAAAGTACCTTTACTGAGACTGGTGTCCCAGACCTACTTACTCTGGGCACAGGCGTGACTGCTGATCTTCCGGAAGCCAGTAGGGCAGGCACAGGTGTAATTCTGGCCACTGGGCAGACATAGGTGGGTGCAGCCTCCATTGTTATCCCCACAGCGGTTTTTCCCTGCTCAAAGAACCCAGAGCAAGATGGTCAGGTAAGACCAAAGTTTTAACAAAGGTAAACCCCAGGCCAGGGAATGGGGGTAAGCTCCCATAAGGAAGAAACTATGTCTTATCATTTTTTGTATTTGCCCCTACTGCTAGCACAGTGAGTACCTGACACATAGGAGATGCCCTGTAAATGTTTGCATGAATTAGATGGGAACAGTGAAGCAGAAAGAGTCTTTCGTGAGTCTTGATGTTGTACCACCCTAAATGTCCAGCAGAGGGAGGAATTAGCCCATGTCAATGCCAGCCCTGGATTTCCCCCATCAGAATTAATGGCAATTGTGACAAGTGCAAGGAAGATTCTTGGAGTCACCAGTAGCCACATCATCCATGAGTCTGCTCTGGCTTACCTGATGGGTAGTTTTTTACCTGCAGGCTGGCGCTGGGGGTGCAAAGTATGAATGTCCATAGGAAAATGGAGTTTGTTGCGAATGATCTCCTGGTTCTTTCCAGTAAACTTGTTGGCACTATTGATACTCTTGGTGTGCCAGTCTGTCCAGTACAAGCTGTCTTCAAACACCGTGATGGCAAAAGGATGAGGGAGACCTAGGCAAATTACAGGAAGACCTCAGTACAGACATGGCCTACCACCACCCCTGGGCCCAGGCCTGGCAACTAAACAAATTTCACCCTCTTCCAATACTCCTGGGACAGGGACAGGAAAGGAAGATGAGAGATGAAGGAGAGAGGAGGAAGGGTCTCACCCTGACTAATGACAGCCTTGCGGTGACTCCCGTCCAGATTGGCCCTCTCGATGACATGGTGCTTAGCATCCACCCAGTACATACGGCGCCCAGCATAGTCAATGGTGAGACCATTGGGCCAGAAGAGATGGGTATCTGCGATGATACGACGTCCAGAGCCATCCATGCTAGAGGCCTCAATGCGGGGGGTATTACCCCAGTCTGTCCAATAAATGGTTCTAGGAAGAAAGAAAAGGAAATTGAGAGGCAGGCAGAAGAGAGTGGATGGGTAGTAACCAGAATAATAACCAGAAAGGGGCTTCTATTCATTTAACTTGGGGGACTCCAACTGTTTGTTCAGAGTGCTTTCCATTTTTTTATTTTTAAATTTAATTTATTTATTTAAAACTTTTTTTTTTTTTTTTGCAGAGCTAGGAATTGAACCCAGGGGATCAAACCCTGGATCTCATGCTGATCAATCACTCTACCACTGAGCTACATCTTTAGCCTCAGAGAGTGTTTTTAAAAATGCTGGAATTTAGTGGGTAGGCATGGTAGCTCATGGCTATAATCCGATGCCTACTCAGGAGGAGGAGATGGGGAAGATGGAGGATCAAGGGCAGACCAGGTGGGAGAAAGTTAGCAAGACCCCATCTCAACCAATAAGCTGGGCATGGTGGCATGTGCCTTTCGTCCCAGCTACATGAGAGGCATAAATATGAGGATCATGGTCCTGGATGGGCAGGACAAGAATGTGAGACACTATTCAAAAAGTAACTAAAGCAAAAAGGGCTTAGGGGAATGGCTTAATGTGGTAGAGCCCTTTCCTAGCAAGTGTGAGGCCCTGAGTTCAAAGCCTATACAGCAAAAAAAAAAAGTTTGAATTTAAATGGGTGTAGACACAGGAGATATAGGAATAGGTAGAAAACCCAAAACATGAAAGCGGCATTTGATGTCCCCACTCCAGAGGAGCTAATACAGAAACCTTAAAATGACAGAGGTTATCATGAGCAGGAACCTATGTAAAGATCAGTTAGAGTTGAATCACATGGGTACACGAAAGCAATATTAGGAATCTCTCTGTATAGCTATCCTATCCTTAACTAGCAAAAACCCTTTGTCTTCCTTATTATGCATATGCCTTTTCTTCTACAAAATCAGTGATAAGGGCAGACCAGGACCTGCCTGGAAATGACCCAAATAATGTATGCACATGTGAATAAATGAAAAATTAAAAAATAAATAAATAAATAACCCCCCCCCCAAAAAGAAAATAAATGGGTGTAGACAGGCAGTTATTTAAAAATAAAAAAATGAGTGTCTGCTAGGGACAGAGTACTATCTTAGTGGCCTGTCAGGTAAGACCAAAGGTTTGCAAAGGTAGCTCCCAGGCCAGGGAGTGTCTTAGGGACTGGAAATACACAGTGAACAAAACAAGCCCCAGCACTCATAAAATTGAGACTAGAGTGGTAAATAAGTTAGGACAAGCACTTTCTTCATTGTTATAATGTCTTCCACTACCTTTTATATTTTACACATACCTCTTCACACACATGTATACACACACACATATTTCTAAAACAGTTGACACACAACTAACTGCAGGATTTTATAAGACATTTCTTCAGTTAACAACATTAAACATTTTCCATCTTTGTTTGAGGTTTTTTTTTTGGCAGTGCTGGGGCTTGAACTCAGGGACTAGAGCTTGCCAGGCAGGTGCCCTACTGCTCACAGATATTGAATGTTTAAAAGCTAGAAGCTAAGAAGTTCCATTTCAAGAGACTTCAATTCTAGATACTCATCCATTAACTTTTCAATTATTACATGCCATTTAAAATGCATCATCTCATTTAATCTTTACACATCTATGAGGAAGTTATGTTTTGGGGTGTTTTTGTTTGTTTGCTTTTTAATTCACCAATTTAGAAATGAGTAAAGGGAGCAGAAAGAAATTAACTAACTCAAGTCTACAAGGCCAGTTTCTGCAGAGCCAGGGTGTCTGGGTACACAGCCCACATTGTTAGCACCACACTGTGAGAATGGTCCCATACAGTCTGGCCCAGGTGGCTGGGAACTATCCCTAGAGTCACAAGAGGGACTTGGGAACCTGAGACACAACTTACTCACCCCTCCATGGGGTGCAAGGCAATGGCCCTGGGCTTCTCAAGGTTCTGCCACAGCAGCACCTTCCGGTGGGCCCCATCCAGGTTGGCCACCTCAATCCTTGATGTCCCTGAGTCAGTCCAGTAGAGTTTGTCATGGACCCAATCCACAGCCAGGCCTCCTGGTGAGAAGAGGCAGTGGAAAAGCATCAGGGATTTATCCCGTGTTCCTCTGTGCTCTACAAGTGCGAACTCTTACATTAAGCAGTTTCTGAAGCCAGGCACTATTGTAACTACTTCACACACATTAATTCATTTAATCATTGCAACTCTGTAAACTAGATTCCAAAATATCCATGAAGATGAGGAAATTGAGGCACAGAGAAGTCAGACAATTACCCAGGGGCTACCATACCCCACTTCCTAAATCCTGGCTCCCTGGCTCATACCCAGGGTTTCCCACTGCATTGACTTGAGGTTTGCAGATTTTCACCTACGGTTTTGCAGTGGCATTTTAGAAGTTCTGAAAATATTTGAGGCAACTGTGCTCAATACCAAATTCTTTCTTTCCCTTCCTTCCTTCTCCTTTCTTTTTTCTTTTTCTTTTTTTTTTTTTTTTTGTAGTGCTGAGCATAGAACCCAGGGTCTCATACATGCTAGGCAAAAGCTCTACCACTGAGCCCCACTTCTAGCCCTTAATATCAAATTCTCACTTCACTTGCTTGTAGAATAGCCTAAGATTGCCAATTAGCTGTTGCTGTTTTTTAAAATCTGTAAAACTATACTTATCTGGATCAGTCAGAATATTTGTAATATTAAGCAATCAAATAAAAACTCAGGCTAGGGTTAGTGGCTCAAGCCTGTAATCCTAGGTACTTGGGAAGCACAAATTGGAAGGATCTTGGTTTGAGGTCAGCCCAGGCAAAAAGTTCATGAGACCGAAACTCAACAAATGTCTGGGTATGGTGTTGTGTGCCTGTCATCCCACCTATGCAGGGAAGCAAATAGGAGGATCACAGTTCAGGACAGTCTGGGCATAAAGCGAGACCCTATCTCAAAAATAAAAACTCTTTCCACCGAAAGGACTGGCAGAGTGGCTTAAGTAATAGAGCACCTGCCTAGTAAGTGCAAGGCCCTGAGTTCAACGCCCCCTAGGGCTGCCAAATCCACTTTCAAAAAAAAGAAAAAAAGAAAAAAAAAAAAATATATATATATGTATCTCAGAGGTAAGCCAGATGCTAACACTGACAGAGAACTCCATTATCCATAAACCTCTGATTCCCTCATGGTAGTCACCAAATGCTATAGCTGAACCCATAAAAATGACAAATATAAACAAATGTTTCTGTATCAGAGTTCCACCCAAGATTTCACTGGAAGAACAAGACAATCTGCTGTGTAAGTTTCACAAACACTGTCCCTTCCCTTCCACCCTACCTGGACTCTCTAGCCCTGTAGACACAACCTCCTCTACATTGCTGCCATTGAGGTTGGCACGGAGGATGCGGTCCAGGGTGACATCAGACCAGAACACCAGCTCTCGCCGGTGATGGAAGTCAAGGGCAATGGCGTTCTCCAGGTTGTTGAGCAGAAGCGTGTACTCGGAGCGGTGCGGCAGCACCTGCCGGATGTCGATGCGATTGGCAAACAGTAACACAGGTTCTGGCCCTGGGACACATAGAAATGTGACCCCACTGGCTTCAGAGTTGTCAGATACCTATCAGCATGCATACCCAGGTCCTCAGCTGATGGTGGGGCCCCTCAGCTGATGCATGCCCCAAACTGGCAGCATTCATACTAGAAGAATGGAAACCTCCCCCACCCCAGCTCACTGCAGCATGTTTTTTCTTGGGCCAAGAATGCAACTCACAGTTCCATTTATTTTACTGTATCAGAAATCTCTCTACCCCTCAGCAAATATCTGAGCTCTGGGGCACCTGGCCTTTCTGTGCTTAGTTCTTGGCCCACCCAGCCAAGTGCCAACACCCCTTACCCAGAGCCTTGCAGCTGCGCCGATCGGGCCGTAGCTCATAGCCTGCTTCACACCAGCACTGGAAAGCCCCTTCACTGTTGGTACAGCCCTGGCTACAGTACCCCTCTTCAGCACATTCATTCACATCTGTGAACACCAGACAGGTCACAATATCTCCCTCCTGCCACCTTCCCAACCTATCTCCCAGGCTACCTAGCTGCATTTCTGGTCACCTCCCCATCTACTTCCTAGGCCTAGTGAGAAGGCTATGTAACAAGGCTAAGGGCTTTGAAGTCATGCAGACCAGGGCTGGAATCCCACCTCTACTACTGCCTAGCTGTGTGGCCTATGGGAAGTTACTTAACTTCTTGAGCTTCAGTTTCTCCTGTCTGTAAAATATGATGATTCCTACCTCCTAGATTTATTGCAATGATAAAATGAGGTCATGGCCATCAGATGTCTGACCCACAGGAAATACCACTGCCTATATGCAGTCCCTGTGTAGCATCCTGACTGCTCCAAATCAGTCCCAGCTCACCTTGGCATGTGTGCCCATCTTCTGTGAGTCGATAACCTGTGTGGCAGGTACACTGCACTGCTCCCCGCACCATCTGGCACTTTTGGGCACAGCCACCGTTGTTAACATTGCAGTTCTCCTCACCCGTCCGGGGCCCTGTGCCAGCCAAGCCAGAGTTGGGATTTGAGCCTAGAATCTTCCCCCAGACAGCCAACTTGGCATTCCACCTGAACCATGAAGAACAGCTCCTAAAGCTGTAAGAGTCCCTGGGGAGAATTCCCTTTGAACCCTATGGGTGGGGTTCAGCCACAAACCACGGGCCAGGCCCGCCCACTGGGGACACTCACGGCAGTTCTGGTGTGGGCTTTCATCACTGTTGTCACCACAGTCATTGACCCCATTGCACAACTTCCGCTGCCCAATGCAGCGCCCATTCCAACACAGGAACTGGTCAGAGGCACACTGGGGGCTTCCTATAAAGACAGGGAGAAAAGGAGAGTCAGGTCACAGCAGGGCAGAGCTTGGATCAACAATGGATGGGAGCCTGTCATTTTCTAGGATAAGCTGGAAACAGATGAGACTCAAGGTGGGAGGGTTGGGGTCCAAGGCAGGAAACAGCTCAGACAAGGGTGGCTGAATGTCTGTACTTGTTTTCTTCCTAGGACATCAGAGTGGATGACAATAAAAAAGTATACCACGTAGTCAGTACTGGGTATGGCTAGGAGGGGTGGGCATGGGGGCTGCCAAGCTGGAGAGAAGTCTTCCTCACTACACCAGAGTAGAACTTACAATGTGAGTAGCCACTGAAACTCACAGTCCTGACACTGTGTTCCAGGCTTAAGGATGCAATCAACAATGCACAAGGATTTGACCCTGGTACTTGGGAAGGGCAGGAAAAATCCAAGCCATGGAAAGAATATGAATGAAATATCACCTCCACCCAACTGGGAAAAGCAGCAGTGATACCCTCTTTCCACCTCTATTTCCCACCCCAACTATAGGTGAGGGGTCTAGGATACCCCTGGGAGACTCCACCTGTGTTCTCACAGTTCTCTTCATCGCTGTTGTCTGCACAGTCATCCTCCCCATCACAGCGCCAGGACAGGCGAACGCAACGGCCTGACCGACAGCGGAATTGTTCCGCTGTGCACATTGAGGTGGCTGGGCAAAGCAAAACAAAAGGATAGTCCCACTCCACCCAAAGTTGGACTTATATCAGTACCCAAGCCACTCTTCATGCCATCAATGTTGCAGCTGGTCTACCTGGCATGTTTGTGAATCAGAAAAAGATATCCTTTTCTCAACACACTTTACTGCCATCTTCTAGAAAACTGCCATGAAGTGTTTATAAATCTGATGTCTATTATGTGGTTGGCATCTATTTGGACATGTTGCCTCTGTGCAGTGCACAGCCTACATACCATACAGGTAGTCCTGTCTATTGTTGTATCTTTAAGTTTTATCGGTAGTGGCCTCTTTGGCCCCACTACCTCTCTTTCTAGTCTCCTGCCCCAGCCCCAGCCTTTGGTGTCATTCCCTCACTCACTGCAGTTGCGCTCATCAGACTGGTCATCACAGTCTGCGTCGCCATCACAGCGCCAGCCTGCATTGATGCACAGGCCACTGTCACACATGAACTCTCCAGAGCGGCAGGGCTGGTGGGAGGCTGGGAAAACAAAACTCTTCTGTCTCTAGCCAGTCTGTACACAGTGTCCCATGTTAAGCCAGAAAGCCCCAGCTCCTCCCATGATAGATGAGGGAATCCTGAAACTCTTTCCCTAAGGATCTGCCCCAGCTGGCACCTGTACCTTGCCACCAAAGGAGCTTTTCACAGCCTGGCTTCCCCTCCTCCCAGCTGGCCACAGTACTCACAGCAGTCAGACTCGTCCGACCAGTCTCCACAGTCATCATCGCCATCACAGTGGTAGATGTCAAGGATGCAGCGGCCATAGGCACACTGGAACTCCTCCAGATTGCAGGGGGGAGCGGGCACTGCTGAAGCTGGAAGGGAGGCACGGACAGGGAGGCACTCAGGCATGAATGGGTGGAGGAGAGAGGCCTGACTTCTCTAGGGGTGAGGTGCTCAGGCAGGGTGCCTTCCTTGAGTGAACTGTAACTGGGTTTCATTTGGGAGTGCCCCACACAGACTCCCATATTCAGATGGATAATGGGAAGTCTGTTCTGCCACCTGGGGCACCCAGCTCCCACCCTGGCTCAGCATACTCCTCAGCCTGGTCTTTAGCCCAGGAGATGGAGCCCTCTGTCCTCCCCCAGCCCAGCAGGCTGAGATCTGGGGCCTCTTACGACAGCTCTCCTCGTCAGAGCCATCTTTGCAGTCTGTGTCACCATCGCAGTACCAGTGTTCAGCAATACAGCTCCCATCACTGCAACGGAATTCCTTGTCAGAGCACTTGCGCATGTCTGGGAGATACAATAAGACAGCCATGGTGAGGGAGCCTCACTGGCATCCCTCTTACCATCTCCCTGACTTCCAATCTCCGGCCACGGAGGGGATCAGGGAGCCTGAGCCTCAAGCTCCTGGCCCCAGGTTTTTGGGACCTCCTGCTTTTCTCCAGATCCTTAGGGAGGTTCAAGGGTGGGCAGCATGAGGCCTTTGCTGCTATCTCTTCCCATGGACACGCCCCACTCCAGCCTTCCACCTGTCTCCCCAGAGCACCACTTACCACACTGCTCATCGCTGTTGTCGCCACAGTCATTGTCACCATCACAGTGCCACAGGCTCCGGATGCAGTAACCATTCTGGCAGGGGAATTCATCCTCCTCACATTCTCTGGGGGCTGTGAGCACAGAGAAGTTGGCTGCTGCAGGCAAAGGTGCCTACATTGCCCACGCAAGTCCTGTCAGAGCAGTCAAGTCACTCCAGTGCTGCTCCTAGGGCTCTAGAAGAGGTGGCCACCTCTGTGGAGTTAGCTGACCAAGACAGGAGGTAAAAGACTAGGACAAAAGCTGAAAACCCAAGGGCTCATATGGACATGGGACACATGGGACATCATTTCCTGATTAAAAATCTTTTCCCAGCTGAGTCTAATGGAGTTCACCTGGCCCCTGCAAACACTCACGACAGTCCTGCTCATCTGAGTCATCCTCACAGTCGTTGTCCCCATCGCACACCCAGGAGCGGCGGATGCACTTGCCATTGTCACAGTGAAAGTCCAGAGGGGAACAGGTGGGCAACACTGAGTCCAGGAGAAGAAGGGAAAAGTGTGTCAATCAGTCAGGCTACACTGCACCAGATTTCCTTTCCCAGCCCCCTGATTTTAACACTTCCTCATGAACTCCTATTCTTGCCCCCAGCAGATGGAGGTGCTAGGCACAAACTGCAGCTAGAGAGAGTAGCAGAAGAGAATGTGATGAGGGAGGAAGCCACAGGGCAGTGGAAGAACAACCCAGAGAACTCAAAGCCACTAAGAAAACCATGAGAAAAACATGGGCAAGAGAAAGAAGTGTTTTTCTTCCCCCTTTGCTCTTATTAAATGATGATTGACACATCTGGGCTCAATTTCCAGTCTAAAACTCTTACTTATCACTCTGAGCAAGTCATTTACCCTCTCTGAGTAGTAGTTTCTTTGACTGTACAATGGGGTTAATTATATTTGACTCGTAGAGGTCTTTGGAGATAATGTATATAAAAGTGCTAATGAAGTTGAAGTGTTTATTATTATCACAATTAGCTGAGCTGGTTAGGGTTAATGACGTCCAGGTTGTAGCTTCACACTCATTAGACTAATTAGCCACCCTCAGACATAAATGCTGCAGGCCAGATTGCACCCCTAAACCCAGACTACTGGCTTAGCAGTGATACTTATATTATCCAAGACAGGACACCCTGGTCCATCATCCATATGTTAATATGCTAGGCTAATGGGAGATTTAAACAGAATATAAGGCTTCTTACAAAGTTTATGTTATTTTAAAAAGGATTATACAGACTACCAAAATAAGAAACATGGAAGTAATCTGCATCTATATATACTATATAAATTTTAAAATGTACAAATGTGCAATACACATACACAAACATATTTATATAAACACAGACAAAACTATTCAAAGAGAATGCCTATGATTTCAAGGCCATTTTCTTCCACACCTATTTCAAAGTTTATTTTATTGGACATAGAGTCATGAGCTGCCCAATAGAAACAGACGGTTGGAGGCATATAAATTGCGAAGAAACCATGCCTTTGCCAATTTCTGTCACCCTCAAAAGAGTCCAACTCTTTGAATCTCACACAATGTATGCACAGAACACTCCTCCAGCTTTGTCCTTGGTCCCACTCTAAGGTCCCTCTTTAAACACCTCCCATAACCACTGAGTACTTACTACATCCGTCCTCATCACTGTGGTCCCCACAGTCATTGTCTCCATCACACTGCCACTGCGCGGGGATGCAGGTACACTCTCCAAGGGCACTCACTGCACATGTGAAGTGACTCCGACCACAGGCACACTCTGGGCTGCTGGCTAAGCCTGGCCAGAGGGAAAAGGAACCAGAGAGAACTCAGCTCCCACTCAACCAAAGCCCATTGTTGGGGGGAGGTGGAGCCCAGACTAGGTGCACTGTCATCCAGGGAGCCAAGGTGACAATGCAAGGGAGATTCAGAGGCTTTTTCCCCTCCTCCCTGGCAGCAATGGTCTAAAAGATGTCCTTTGGGCCTACAGTCCAGGCACCACCATCCATGATAGACTTTTTTTTTTTTTTTTTTTGCAGTACTGGGGCTTGAACTCAGGGCCTTCACCTTGAGCCACTCCACCAACCCTATTTTTGTGACAGGTTTTTCAATATAGGGTCTTGCAGAACTATTTGCCCAGGCTGACTTCGAACTGTGATCCTCCTGATCTCTGCCTCCTGAGTAGCTAGGATTACAGGCGTGAGCCGCTGGCTCCTGGTCATGATAGACTTTTTAACACACTACCTCCAAAGTCCCAGATGCCACTAGAGAGTTGCTATTCTTGGAGAAAGGGAGGAGGGACAGACAGACAAATGCTGAAAAGTCTCCACATGCTTCTCTGAAAAACTAGGTTGAGATATGGATGCTACTACTACTATCCTAAACCAGACCCTGGCTTGCCTGCTAGGCAAGAAATAATATGGGGCTAAAATACGGGAGCCTCTTTAGGTTAAGCAATCCACACAGGGAGCAGGAAGCAGACTGTGAGTCTTGCAGTTAGACCTTACTTTTGAGAAGAGTGACCAGGAGGAATGGGGCCAGAGAGGAAAGAGACAGGGCCACCTCAGGGCAGAGAAGCTGAGCCCAGCCAGGGCCTTCCGGTCTGTGGGACAGGCCACAGCCTAGAGGAAGGCTGGCAGACATGGCCCCTCCCCCAGCCTCAGCAGCACACAGCTGGGCTTCCCTATTGAGCATCAAAAGCTATCTGCCTGGCCAAGTCCCATGACCGGCTGCTGTGCCCCGTCCCCAGCTTGCCCAGCAGGATGCCCTGAGATGGCGTGTGAATGGCTCTGTGCCTCTGCTCCAGCCTCAGCTGGAACAAAGGGTTCTGCCAGGGTCACTCTCCCCTCCCAGCATTCATCTAACCCACTGGGCTGCTGCAGCTGGAGAAGGAGGGTGCCAGGCTCATTGCTCATCTCTCCCCCTTGTTTCTTGTCCTCTTCCTCCCTTCATCTGGGCCCTGCCCTCAGGCTAAGCTTTAAATTGCCACCCCTTTTCCTTTACTATTTACCTGGCTCATTTCTCTTTCTGCTACTATCCTTGATCACATCCTTACCTCCCATTACAATTACTTGACCTAGCCTGGAGCTTAGGTCCTGGAAAGAGTGTGCTGCCATGGCCTCCAAACACAAGGAAAAAGTGCTAGACCCTGTTCCACTTCATCCCCAAGAATAATTGTGAGCATAAGGCAGAGCATCTTAACCTGTGATGGATGGATGAATGGATGGGTGGATGGATGGATGGATGGATGGATGGATAGATGGATGTTTAGATGACCAAACTATGGCATCTGTGAAGCCCTAAAGCTATAGGCAAAATGAATATTTCTGGAGTGAGGGACAAAAGAGTCCTATCAGATTCTCAGCTAAGGCTTGGCCCTCCTCTCCATATGCTAAGGGAACCAGCTGCCCAAGAAAAGATCTAAGATTTCCTGAAGAAGGCAACGGATGTCCATTTGGGAAGGAGAGCTTCTCTGCATACCTCACAGGAAGGCCTCACTGCAAGCCCAGTTCTCCTGTCCCTGCAAATGCAGACCAGAGGGTTCTTTCCCAGGGAAGCACTGAAGATCCAGTTGCCATAGCCCCAGCTCCCCTCTTTCTGGTCTGTTCCTAGAGCTCTGAGAAGGCATAAGGATATTTCTCAGACCCTGGGCCACAGAACCTGAGGAACACTGGCTCAGCCCAGTATAGGCAGGCACCCCTTTAGGGACTCTTGGCCAGATTCAACAGAATACTCCATGTAATAAGACTCTGGACACACAGATCCCTTTCATGGAGAGGCTAGGGAAGAGAGTAAGACTAAATCAGTGGTTCTCAACAAGGGATGATTTTGCCACTCTGGGGACATTTGGTTGTTGTGACAGGAGGTGCTACTGGCATCTAGTGGGTAGAGGCCAGGGATACTACTAAACATCCTATAGTACACAGGACAGCACCCTTCTCTCCCCATTATCTGGCCCCAAACGTCAACAGAGGTTGAAAAAGCCACAGACAGCAGGGAGTGGAAGAGTGGAGATGTACCTGCAGGAAATTCCAGATAAAAGGAGTAACAATGACAGAAAGCCGGAAGGGAGAAAATGAAGGAGGACAAAGGGAAAAGGCTCTGGATCTGGAGCAGGCAGACCTGGGTTCCACTAACCAGCTACATAACCTTGTGTGAGCCACTTAGCTCCTTAAGCCTCAGCCTCCTCATGTTTGTTTGTTTGTTCTTTAATGTTGGATACGGATTAAGTGTTTCCCAAAGGCCTTGATTTGGGGAATCTGAGTAACAGGATGGGTACTTAGCAAGATCAGCAGCATCCAAGTGAAAAGGAGTAGAGGAGGTGGACAGGAGCCATCAGACCCTGATTGCCTGGGCCCAGGCCCACCCCCGCCCCTGGCTGAGTGATAACAGAAGTCCTGATTTCCTGGGACAGACTGCAGGAACAAAGCATTCCACCGGGTGGACATCAAGTTAGTTGCAGGTGGTTGTAGAGTCAGGACTTCCAGTTTGTCAGAGAAACACCTGAAGTCAGTGCCACCATGAAGGAAGGTCAGGCGGCCACCAAACAGGCAACCCTTGGCTTGAGCATTCATACAGGAAGCAGACACATTATACCCAAAAGGCCAGCTTTTTGGACAACTCTGCCCCTCTGGGATGCTCAGAGGTGTAACTGCCTTTTCATTCAAGCCCTGGCTATGATCATGAAGGGCAGCTTTTAACCCTTTTTAAGTAACAACATGGTTAGTAAAGAAAGGAAACAAATGACTGGAGGTGGCGAAATGCAGCCTTCATTTTAAGAAGTGTTGAATTCAAATACCCAGCTATTTTTCTGGCCTTGGAGCTGTTTGCCAGCCACACAGCAGCTCTCCTAGCTCCTGGGAGCTTGGGCAATAATAGCCTTTGCCCTAATGCATGCAATTCAACAAGGAAAAGGTCTCTGCCCAAGGTACCCATGCTCTCTGACCAAGTCATCAACTTTTACAATACATGTTAACATGATCATAGAACTTTCTACAAAGGTATGCCAAAATCTCACCATTTACATCTCATCTCCCCCACCCCAGTCACTTTAGCAATTTCTCAGTGCTTTCTTTTGTTGTCTTTCTTTCTTTCTTTTTTTTTTTTTTGAAGGAAAGAAGGGAAACATTCATCTGGTGTACAAGACAGGTAACACATATTCTGGACTCAGAGATGCTAAAGTTGAAATCTTGATTCTTCCATTAGTTCTGCAACTTTGAGCAAGTTTGTTTATATCTTTAAGCCTCATTTTGCTCATCCATAAAACAGAATAACAGTCCTACCACAGAGGGTTTTGGGAAGCTTTAGATAGTTGTACATTGTTTAGCACAGCACTGGCACACAGCAAAAGCTTCATAATAATATAACTACCACCATTTACTGAGCACTTACCAGGTGCCCTCCAAATGCTTTTCATATGCTGTATCACTGAATGTTCCCCACGACCCTCAAAAGTGGCACTATTATTATCGCCACTTTACAGGGAGGACAATGAAAAGAAAAAGGTTAAGTCTATAGATAGGTCAGACAGGTATAAAGAATTGGGTTAGGCACTTACCCCTCAGGAGTGTGACTAAACTGCCTCACAATAAATGATATTGCTATTGTGAGAATCTCCAAAGCCCCAAAGTCAAAAAAGAGAAATGTAAGCTTCTAAATCCCTCTCCCTTATGCGTTCTCCACTAGCATATCTGTAGTCAGTTTATGGGTCCCAAAGGTGACCTTTCCTAGTTACTGCTAAGGTAAAGATTAATTTCCTTTGCCCTAAAGTAAGGTAGTAAAGTAGGGAAAAGTCTGGAGTCCCAGCCCTTTTGAATGAGTGCCTCAGTGTTACATGAGTGCAAGAAGGAACTGGGCTTTGACAACAAATAATTATACCTTGCAGTTTTTTACAGTTGGCAAGCTACTTTGGCACATGCACTTGCATTCTCATTTAATCATTACAGTAATTCTGAGCAGTTATTGTGGCACCCACATAGTAGGTAAGGACACCTGCTTTGGCTAAGATAAGTCAATTAGCAGAACTAGGATAGCAGCCTCATTCTGACTTTTCAACTAATATTCTTCTCTTAGCGTGATCCTAGAATCCAAACTTCTAAAAAGCTTTACAGGTGACAACAATGCACACTTAAGTGTCTAACGGCACTGTGAGCCACCATCCCAAGGAATGCTCGGTTGAAGATGGACCACAACTGTCTTGTGGAGACACACAAGTGTGTGGACAGTGACTACACACAACTACAGAGCAGCTTCTTCTAGTTGAACAAGAGATGAAAAAGCTTAGGAGTACTGTGTGAGTGTTCTGGAGTATGGAAGGGATTAGGATTACAATGGGAAAGGGAGAAGTCAGCACTGGCAAGTGAAGCATGTTTTTCTTTTTCAGTCATGGGGATTGAACCCAGAGCCTCACACATGCCAACCAGTTGCTCTACCACTGAGCTACATCACCACACGCATTTATCTTATAATGCCAAAGCTCTCCTCTCTTCCGAACACTAGCAGCAATGGTGAGGCTATAAATCTTATTTAATGAGAATAAATTATTTGAAATTTTTCTAAACTACATCCAGGCCAACCAAGGGACAAGTCCACTGACTTCAATTCCTTGGGCAGCCTACTCAGTAACATCTCTCACTGAAGGGAACATCCATGTAGAAAGACAAAACTGAAAAATGCAGCCACATAGGAATGGACCTAATGACGTCATCTAAGAGATACCTGGATTCTGAAGAGATCTATACAAAGCCACTGTGTGAGCCACATCAAATAGTAACAATACAAAAAAAGGGTGAGCAGTAA